AAATAAAGAATGTATTAGTCCATTTTCATGTTGCTGATAAAGACATACCTGAGACTGAGTAATTTATAAAGATAAAGAGGTTTAATAGATTCACATTTCCATGTGGCTGGAGAGGCCTCACAATCATGGTGGAAGGCAAAAGGCATGTCTTACTAGGTGACAGGCAAGAGAGAATTTGTGCAGGGAAACTCTCCCTTATAAAACCAGCAGATTTTGTGACACTTGTTCACTATCACGAGAAAAGCATGGGAAAGACCCACCCCTATGATTCAATTACCTTCCACCGGGTCCCTCCCATGACACGTGGGAATTGTGAGAACTATAATTCAAGGTGAGATTTGGGTGGGGACACAGCAAAACTATATGAAGGAATATGTGAAAGAGATCCCACTTATAGAAATAAGAGTAGAAATATTAAAATAGTGTGTTTTGGAAACCAAGAACATATCAAATTTTAGAAAGAAAGGGAGGCCAGTTGTGGTGGCTGTCATCTGTAATCCCAGCATTTTGGGAGGCTAATGCAGGAGGATTGCTTAAAGCCGGCAGTTTGAGACCAGTACGGTCAACATAGAAAGACCCCCATCTCTACAAAAAATGTAAAAAACTAGCTGTGCATGGTGGTGCATGCCTGTAGTCCCAACTAGAGGCAACAGGATCACTTACAGCCAAGGAGTTTGAGGCTTCAGTGAACTATGATGGTGCCACTGCACTCCAGCCTCGGTGACAGAGTAAGACCCCGTCTCTTAAAAAAGGCGGTGAATAGACAATGTTGTATGAAGTAGAGAGATCCACTAAGATATAAACTAAAAATGAGTCTTAAATTTGGCTGTAATGTTATTATGAACCCCAACAGAGCAATTTCAACAGCATGCTGAGAATGGGAACCAGAATTCAGCAGATGAAGTGCAAACACCAGATAAGGTAGTCTGGTTTTATCTCTTCTTACTGTTTAATCTGAACTTGTGAGATTAAAAAATAGTTCTGGGAGTATGAAATTCAAGGGAAGGTATTTGTCCTTATTTCTGTTTTGGTGTGGGAGTAAAAGTAAGGGAGCAGATAGGGAAGAAGAGATTGAATATGTAAGGGGGATAGTGGATGACTGAAGGTTGTGCATGAGGCTCGGGGCTGGGTGGTTGGCTGTCACTGTTAGACCAGAGGATAAAGGTAAAAATGGGTGGTGGTAAATACATTTTTGGATGGACAGTTCAGAATTAAACACACACACACACAGACACACACACACACACACACAAACGAACCATTGAACACTGTAAGCGAAATCTAGAGAGAGGTTAAGATTGAAAAAGTGTGTGAGAACAGGAAAGTAGGAGACTGGGTTGGATTCTGATTTTTTTTTTTTTTTTCGGGATAGAATCTCTCTCTCTATCACCTAGGCTGGAGTGCAGTGATGAGATCTCTGCCCAAGTAGCTGGGAGTACAGATGTGTGCCACCACGCCTCGGTGATTTTTGTATTTTTAGTAGAGATGGGGTTTCACTATGTCGGCCAGGCTGGTCTCGAACTCCTGGCCTCAAGTGATCTGCCTGCCTTGGCCTTCCAAAGTGTTGGGATTACAGGCGTGAGCCACCACACCCGTCTAGATTGTGAATTTAATGGAAGAGAAGGGCTGGTCTAGATTTAGAAGAGTCATTGCATGGAATAAAAGGGAAATTTTACCATGAGCAAATAAAAGTGAGCAAAGGACACAAAAAGTGAGCAAAGGACATGGGCAAAGGCCACCATGACTGGCCCCCCTTTCTTTTTAAAATCTGATATGCTCTTGGTTTCTAAAACACACTATTTTGTTATTTCTATTCTTATTTCTACAGGTAGGGTCTCTTTCACATATTCTTTGATATGGTTTTGCTGTGTCCCCAGCCAGTTTTCTAAAAAAGACATACAAGTGGCCAACAAAAATACATAAAAATGCTCAGTATCACTCACAATCAAAGAAATGCAATTAAAACCACAATGAGATGCCATTTTACAGCAGTCTGAATGGCTATTATGAAAAAGTCAAAAATAACAGATGGCAAGGATGTAGGAAAAAAAGGAATGCTTACACACTGTTGATCAGATGTACAACCTCTATGGCAAACAGTATAGAGATTTCTCAAAGAACTGAAAATAAAATAGCCATTCAATTCAGTAATCTCACTGCTGAGTATCAACCCAAATAAAAATGAATCATTGTATAAAAAAGATATCTGCACTCATTTGTTTATTGCAGCACTATTCACAAAAGTAAACTCATGAAATCAATCACGTGTCCATCAATGTTTGTCCATCAGGATAAAGAAAATGTGGTATCTATGTATTCTATACCATGGAATACTACTCAGTTACAAAAAAAGGGATGAAATCATGTGTTTTGCAGCAACATGGATGGAACTGAAGGCCATTATCCAAAGTGAAATGACTTAGAAACAGTCAAACACTGTATGTTCTCCTTTTTAAGTGGGGGCTACACAATATATCCTGGTAACAAAACTTCACTTGCATCCCCTAAATCTATTTTTTAAACAGCCAAAAAAAAAAAAAAAAAAAAATTGCCAGTAGGAGGTACCCATGGCTCTGAGGACAGAGACTCAGAAGTCTGGTTTCATCAATTTGCAGGGTCGGTTGACTTTCTCTAGCAGCTCTCAGTCCCTTTTCAGGAGGAAAAGTTGGATTGTTTCTAGTCTTTTGTCCAAAGATTAGGCAATATTTGCAATGAGTGTGGCAGGATGATAAGATGTAGGCAAACTGAGGTACTGGTGAGAAGGGAGAGAGATAATCATCAGGTTCAGGTAGATTATAAAGCTACTGGTGAGAGGGCACATACAGTGGGGTGGGCAGTAATGAGGAGTCCAGGAGGGGACGGCTTTGGGGGTAAAGTCAAGGTCAGAGGGAAGAAAATCCTCTGAGAAGTAGAAGGTCAGGAGGTTGTGGTGAGAGTCTGAAACATCGTAATCTAGGTTTTCTGGAGCCTAAGCACATTCTTGAGGCCAGTATTGAACCAGACTAGTCTTTGAGCATAGAGAGAAGAGGAAGAACAAAATATTTATTTCTATCACAGTTAACTGTATCTTCATCAATGTCCCAGATCAATACAGGGGGATAAAGCTATGCAGTGGTTATGAACTGACAACTCACAAAACTCAGTGGTGATTCCTGTCCCTTTTATCTTATCATTTAAGGGAAATCTAGCTAAAAGTGTCCATTAATCAGAGCCTTGGAAGTGCTGACTATTTGAAAGGATGGAAAAGATAATTATTAGACATGCCCTCAATCGTCACTCAAACATAATGTGACTATGAGCCATCACTGGTGGGAATATTTTCAAGGTGCTTGTACCACAGGAAATATCATATTACGTATTTATTTCAATATATTTTAACAAAATGCCATGCAATGGAATAATTTGATACTAGGTGTAATGTTTAAAGATACGTCAAAGAGAGGATGACTTAGCCTAGAGGTTATGAAACACTATGGAAAAAATGGAAATCTTGGGCTGTTCTCATTAACTATTGTGGATAACCACTATATTTCCCAATGTGCAAAGTATGCAAATTGTGGAAGATTCACAAAATTTTTTTTGGAAAGTGGCAACAAGAAAGTAGATAAATAATTTTTCCTCCAGGGCAGAGTTTTAGAGTTTACCTTGGTTTTCTATTGTCCTCTTAATTGTATCACCTACAACTCATATAAAAACTAGACGATACATACTCAATTTCGGTTTTTGTTACCTATCTGTCATTGTTGACAGCTTCATTAACTTTTTTCATCACAAAAGGATATGACCTTAGAATCCTGAAAGAGGAAAAACTACTCTGGCATTCTTGGATCACTTTACAACCTTATTCAGATTTTCTTTTTTTTTTTTAATGTTTATTTTAGGTTGAGGGGTACATGTGCAGGTTTGTTATATAGGTAAACTTGTGTCACTGGGGTTTGTTGTACAGATTATTTCATCATCTCGGTACTAAGCTTAGTACCCAATAGTTATTTTCAGATTTTCTTACCTCTTTCTACAGAATTGGTGCTCTGACCTTAGGAAAAAAAGGGAAAAGCTTAACAACTGAAACAAGATCCATTGCCAATCTAAGCCACTTTTTAATGTATCTTGAACTGGGCTGGTGAAGTTCAGTAATTAGAATGATAAAAACATCATTTTCTTTGCCTTGCTGGTTTAGAGTGTTTATGTACTCTATGGGTTTAAGTTTTTTAAAAGTTCACCCTTGCACTTAAGTTTTCTGTTCCATCAGCAAAATTTAGCTGAGTTGGCCTAAAATATGCCTTCTGATGGAACGAGGTATCCTTCGAAGTACTGACCCCAAACTCTGCTGCTTAATCAAGGCCGTATACATTTTCTTAAAAAGACACTGTGTGACCAGTCGAATGTAAACGTTTAATAATTCAGAAATACAAGAGCGCAGCCTGCTTTGATTTAGTTCGCAACCTTCCAGCTGCAAAACTGCCTCAAGCAACAATGTAATGCAAGTTCCAGCCAACTTATTTTTTCTTTTAATTAGGGAAAATAAAAATTAAAAAAGTGCTTCTTAAACCATCTCAGGATCACAGAAGCACAGAAATGAATAGTTGGCTTTGATGAACCCAAAGCAGTGGGATGGTGACAGGAACTGATTGAAAAGCTGGTGACAGACTCCTAGAACCCTTGTCCTCACATGCTAATTTATACTACACACACTAAATTTCTTTTAATTTTTCTAACTCTAAAATTTTAGCCTTGCTCAATTTATTATTTCCAGTTGCCCTAGGACATTTTCAGTTACAGAAAATGGATTTAGTCCCAATGAACTCCAGGTAGGGAACAGATTATGTAAATTCTGTTCCATACAGAACGGAATACATCTCTGCTCACCTCAAGCCTACCCCAAAGATAACTTGATGACATAGTTTCCATTCCAAAGAAGGAAGGACATTTAATTAAAGAGGCTTTAAATTGTACATTTCTCTGGTTCTCGATATAGTCAGGTAATTTTTTTGTAGAATGCCGTGGGAAATTCTTTCAGTGAGATGAAGCTGTTGGGCACAGTGAGCACTGAGGCAGACATGTTATTTCTGAAGGAAAATCCTCTCCGCAGATAGTTCAGAAAGGGAGTGAGAGCTTTAACGTTTGTCTTGTGGTTCTGTTTTGCTTTACTGCACTTTGTAATAAACACTCTGGTCGAAAGACCAAGTTCTGATGAAGTGGCACAAAACTGCATGTCATCCCATAGCCTTAGAAAACAAGGTCTCTGTGTTTTTATTTGTTTTTATTTTAAGCATAGCATAACGTGGGATCCCATAACAATCTTCGAGAATTGAACTGTAACAACACACAACTGGTGTTTGGATTGCCTATAAACCACAATAGAATAGCCACAATGCCAGCAACTTTCCTTCCTTCACTTCAGCCAAGCGTTTTAAAAGCTGTATCCTGGAATTGTAATGTAGAGTAGCATTGATTTCTGGGGTAAAAATGGTTTTAGAAGAAAATCACTGATTAGTTCTAATGCAGCGCAAGGTGCCTTAGACAGAAATTTTAGCTATTTTTACACCCAGTAACTAACTGCGCAATTGAGGCCAAATCATTTAAAGCCCTCCATTTAACAGATGGGAAGGTTGATATTGAAGGCAACGAGCTTTCTTACCTGTAAATGAAAAAAACTCAAAAAACTTGAATTTGATGATCTATTAGACCTTTCTATAATTCTAAACTTTTTCCTTTTGCTTTGGGAGGGGTTCCATTACTGATGTAGAAAAATGATTGCTGAACACCCTCCATTTTGGAAATCAATGACTTCTCAGGAAAATTTTTTTTAATTCATAGGAAAATTAATAAATTAATAATATGTACTAACACAAATGATTTGCTTGACTACCTCTAGAACTGATTGCGAAGAAAGGATGTGCAAATCTACTTCCTGGAAGATCTTGGAGACTAGGATACAGGCACATCTCATGACCATGCAAGAGAGTAATCAGATTCCTCATGGTAACCAGGAAGCGAGGCTCAGGAGTTAGGCGGTGTTCACTTATCACTTGTTGCCATGGATACTCACTAAGACACCTTTCCCTCTCCTGCAGAGAACCAGAGCTGCTGTGGTGGTTTCAAAAAATAAGAGCCACGCCTTGAGAATGGGCTGCTTACAGGCTGGTGGGAAGTCAGCTGGGAAGCACTGGAAGATGATGCATAGCTTATTTCCACTCTGACTTTGGATTATTTGTGAACGGCTCTCTCTGATTAGTTGAGAATTTATTATATGTCTATATTGATATATTTCCAGAACAAATTGGACAATTCATCAAAGTCATTTCCATCTTGGTCATTTCATGATCCTCAAATGCATGTTCAGTTAGTGTTTTTTTCATGTATATTCTTCATCTCTAATCTCCAGTTACAGACACAGAAATATTTCCCTGAGAAAGAACATTGGTATAGAGTGAAATTATATAAGAAGCATCCTTTACTGAATTGAAAACTTTATTTAACTATCATTTGCTGCTCACTTGCACACACGCCTAGCTTTATAACAAACAATAAGGACACCAATTATTTTAAGGAGGAATTGGTAGATTATTCTCTTGAGATTGAGCTGCTGAGGATGCTTCACCCAATTCACATCCAAGTCTATGAAACCAAAATACACAGCTTTAATCCATCCAAGGTGATTGGCTCCATGAAGAGTAATTCTCCAGGTAGTAGAGAATTTTTAGGCATTAATATTATAGCTTGTGTTTGCAACAAGGTCAGGTGTTACCATAAAGGAAAGTTAATTACTCTTTCTTGGATTAAAAAAAGGGATGGCCGTTGAGGCAGAGATATGGAGAGGAAGTTCTTTCACTCTGGGGGATGATTAAAGAAGGTGGGAGGGAGGAGAGGTAATCCTGGGCAATTGCATGACTAAGACTGAAAATCCCTCCAAATTCAGCTGCCCTGGGGGATCTTATAAAAATGGCTTTATATGTAAACTTGAATAATGTCTTAATTATAAGACTGAAGTTGTGGGTGGACCAAGCCTACAACAGCACAGAAATATCATAGTTGAAAGTGCTACCAAGGAGACATTTCTTATCCCTATGGAGAAACTACCACAGACAAGAGATGGATGACAGTGGTGCTTGTGGATCCTTAAAGCACTCCTTGTAGTATCCACCAACCACAGCATGGCCTGGTACTCCGTGACAATACTGTATAGCAGGGACCATACCTGGGTGGCTTATGTTCCCTGTGTTTCAACAGCGACACCATGTGGCAGCAATTATAAAGAAGAGTGGCTTGCATCACTGACAGAGCAGGTGTTCTGCTTCTCCTTCAAGAAGAAATGTAAGCATCCCTGGGAGATCTGAAGTTCTCCTAGGAAGGAGAATCCTAGGGAGAGAAGGGAACAAATGACTGCAATCCAAATATGCCATGCCACTATCTGAAAGGGACACTTTCCTTCCCTCCTCTTCAAAAAGAAGATAAATAAATATATATTTTCTTTCATCAGGAATTATCTCTTCACTCAACAGAGAAAATCAGGATTCATCAATCTGAGGGCTCAGAAAGAACCAGTATGAAAGGCAAAGCAATTCTACAGCTCCAAACTCCAACGCCAACCCTGTTCTCCAAATAATCTCTTTGCAATAAGGGCCTTGGAGTAGAAGCTAAAAGCTTAGGCTTTGCCTCAGATCTACCTTGGATTAAGCCCAGGTTTGCTACTTTTTATCTATGACTTTGGAAAAGTTATTCACCTTTGGGCCTCACTTTTTCCACCTGTGGGATGAGAAGGAAACACTATGCCTCACAGAGAGATTTTGAGAACCTAATGCATTGATCCACATAATTTTTTAAAAACTCTTCTCCCAGGCTGGAGTGCAGTGGTGTGATCTCAGCTCACTGCAACCTCTGCCTCCCAGGTTCAAGTGGTTCTCCTGCCTCAGCCTCCAGAGTAGCTGGGATTATAGACATGCACAATGATGCCTGGCTAATTTTTGTGTTTTCAGTCAAGACAGGGTTTGGCTGTGTTGGCCAGGCTGGTCTCGAACTCCTGACCTCAAGTGATTCACCCGCCTCGGCCTCCCAAAGTGCTGGGATTACAGGCATGAGCCACTGCACCTGACCCTGACCCGTATAGTTTTTTACCAGTGCTGGATCCAGTAAACTGACATTTGCTGGATGTGCTTGTACTTTTATCTTTTAACAGTGCCTGGCTGTTTTCTTTGCTCTTGGGTTCTCCCTTATTTTCCTTAATTCAAGATTTTTGTATCATCCTGTAACCAGGTCTTGATTCTTGTATGATTTACTCTGTTTTAACTTTACATCTACAGTTCTGAAATGCACTCCAATGTGAAATTATACTTTCATTAGTGTTTTAGAATAAATGGCCATTGCTCAAAAGTTCTGGTGAAATGATAATGCAAGGGTCACAAAGTTGAATACCTGCAGGGGCCAAGCAGGAATATAATTAATTAAAGCACATGGGAAGAGAAGCAGCAGCAGGGCCTGATATGAAAACTGCGTTTTCCCTCTGTGGGAGCAGCCTTGTCCCATCAGATGATTGTTGGCAGGTGGGGAAAGACCTACTGTTGCCAAGTCTCCCATTTTTCAAGAAACGCAAGAAAGACAATTTTATAGTGTAAAAATCTCTAATCTTAAATATTAACCAGTCATCCACATGTTTGAAAACACAATAGGCCAATCAAAGCATATTTGTGAGCCATGTCCGGGCCCTGCCCATTTGCAGCCTCTGCATCACTTTCCCAGGCAGATACAACTTTGGATGAATGCCACCTAGTGGTAAGAATTGTAATTAAGAGATCAATAAGAAACAAATGCTTTACAGTGTACGATTCCAATGCTAAGGATGAAATGGTGACGGTTGTCTTTTAATCTTTTCTTAAGTAATTAGCTATGGATGCCCGTGGAGTCCATTAGCATTAACATCTTTAACCACAAACAGTGGTGCCATACTGTATTTCACTCTCATGACCCAAGTGGCTACAGAAGGGCTGTCCGGTAGTGCATCCATAAGAGCTCTTACATTCCAGTCTACGGTGTCTGGGTTTTTTTTTTTTTTTTTTTTTTTGAGACCGAGTCGCTCTCTGTCGCCCAGGCTGGAGTGCAGTGGTGCGATCTCGGCTCACTGCAACCTCCACCTCCCGGGTTCAAGTTGATTCTCTGCCTCAGCCTCCCGAGTAGCTGGGATTACAGGCACACGCCACCAAGCCCGGCCAGTTTTTGTATTTTTGGTAGAGACGAGGTTTCACCATGTTGGTCAGGCTGGTCTCGAACTCCTGACCTCGTGATCCGCCCATCTTGGCCTCCCTAAGTGCTGGAATTACAGGCGTGAGCTACCGCACCCGGCTGGGATTCTGTTTTTTAAAACTCTGGATCGTCTGCTACTGGGAACTACTCTCCCAAAGCTATGTTCTAATTTTTACCTTGTCTAGAACTGATGAAAGGTGGGGATGAGGGAAACGGAAAGAAATCGTGGAGTTAATGATGGGTGAGAGCATCAGAAACAACTTACATACCACCTTTGTTCAATTCCTTTTCCTTTACCTATGCTAGCTCCTGAGGCTGAGTTTTCTTTTAACATCATCTATCTTAGTTTATTTATTTGTATCTTAAAATATCTTTTTTGCTTATCCATAAGGCACAAGATTATGGTCTTCCAATAAACCAGAGGTCAGCAAATTATAGCCTGTGGGCCAAATATGGCCTGGTGCCTGTTTTTGAATAAATTTTTATTAGAGCACGGGCATGCTCATTTGTTTACATATTGTCTGTGTATGCTTTCTTACTAGAATCGCAGAGTTGGGTAGTTGTAAGTTATGACTTATAAAGCCTAAAACGTTTACTGTCTGGTCCTTTACAAAAAGAAATTGCCAGCCCCTGCAATAGGATTTTTTTAAAAAAACAGTTTGCATAGTATATCTTTTCCTATCCTTTTGCTTGTAATCTTTTGGTATACCCATGTTTTAAGTGTGTCCTCTTTAAACAAAATATTACTGAATTTTATTTAATCTAATCTTAATTTTTATTTAACTGGTCAATTCAGTTTAACTAGTATATTCAGGTTTATTTTTGCCATCCATTTTGTGGTTTTAAGTAATATTACTTTCCTTCATACTTCATTTTTTTTCATCTTTTCAAGGTTTCAGTAGTTTTTTTTGGGCAAAAATTCATATTACCCAATAATATTTTGAAGGGTTTATATTCCATTTCTATTATTTGAATAAATACTCTTCAACATTTAATGTGTATACCTGACTTTGCAAAGTTCAGTGTTACCTTTATCCTTCACCTGGAAAGTACAGATTCTTAGAAGACTTAAATAACACATTGCCTCAGATCTAACATATTATTGTTTCCCTATTTTAGTTGTGAATTATTTTTATATTCATGAAACAATTAGTAATTTTAATATTTTATATGGTCAGTTGTTGTTGATATTGACCCTAGTGTTTGTCAGTTCCGTTCTTACCACTGTTTCTTGCTTCTTCGTTCTTCCTTTAGGTTGCATTTCTTTTTTCTGGAAGCACATCTTTTAAAAGATATTTACATGAAGGTCTACTATATATGAAATTGGAGTTCTAGAAGGGGAGAAGATGAGAATGAGGAAGAAACAATGTTTCAAGAGGAAATCTCTCAAGAATTTGCCAAGTCTGACCCAAAACATCAAGCAATTGATTTAAGAAGTGTATAAGCCCAAGCTGGGTAAATACAATGAAAACCACACTTTGGCACACCAAAGTCAAACTGAGGGAAATCAAAACAATAATAAAACATTGAAAATGCACATTACATTCAAACCAACTACAATAAGATAAATAGCTAATTTCCTAAAACAAATTATGGAAGCCAGGAAACAATTTAATGACATCTTTAATGATAAAATTACTGCCAGTTTTCAATTATCTGCCAACTAAAAATTTACTCCAGAATTGAAGGTGAAATAAAGATATTTCTAGATAAATAAGCCTGAGAGGTTTCATCACTGACAAATATTACAGTAGGTACTATAGAATCCTCCAGGCAGAAGGGAAATAATCAAGAAAGAAATACAGAAATGGAGGAGGAAAAAGCAAATCAGTGATGTTGGTAAATATACGGATACATTTAAAATATTAATTATAAAATAACATTTTGTGATATTTACAATATATGTTGAATTAAAATGCATGACAACAATAACACAAAAAGCTAATAGGGGCTAATAGAGTTAAAAAATTGTAACACTTTCTCATTGCCTATAAAGTAATAAGAATCCAGGTCTAAATATATCTAAAACATCTCTTTCGATAGATGTAAAAATATAAGGTATAACTTAATTGGCAACGTTTTTCTTTTTCCCAGAAGTATAAGAAACAATGCTATGTTTTACAACTGATTGCATCAATAAAATATGATTCAGAAAGTTTGCCACATAAAGTGATGACATAAAGAACATAAAGTGCTCCTTCTTTATTCTGGAATTGGAGCTTGCTATCTGTTACTAAACACTAGTTATATTGTAACCTTTGGAAAGGATAAGTAACCGTTACATCAAGCATCAAGTAACGGATTCCTCTATTTCCATTCTCCCATTTTTTCAGATGTATGAATCTTATATACACATAGCAGCAGAGCAACTGGAATGAAATACTAGTGTGCATAGGATAATAATATTCTATAATTCATATCCTTGATAGAATATCCTGTAACTTTGTTGACAAATTTGTCACTCTTCTATTTTAAAGTCCAACTTCTGTTCAATTCTGTCCCATTGAGCAGTAAGCATCGATTGTGGAGGAGAGTCTGGTTTGTAAACTATATCCAGTGGCTGGGATTACATCTGTTCATAATTATATAGATCTGCCTGCTCAAAGTGGCAAAAGGAAGACATGAATGACATCTACAGAATCTCAATGACATAATGAATACCCTATATCTGCAGTGCAAGATAGGTTGTGCAGCAGGCCAGTTCCTTTAGACCCTACCATATTGCTATCACAGAGGAAAGGCTTGGGGCATAAGCCTAATAGTTTTGGTTTTCTACAGTCTCAATCTAATGTTTCATTCCTCTGGCCTTGCTTATTTTATCCTCATTAGGTTCACACAGAGTTTAAATTTATTCTCCACCCAAAAACCCACAGGAATCAAGCAAATGTGTTTTGATGGATTTCTGTAGTTTCCTTTCAGAACCAGATGTTGGACAGCAGCCATCTTAGAAAAAACACTTGCTAGATAAGGCAGGTTAAAAAGGGAAGGAAATCTGAAAAAGAAATCAATTGAAAAAAAAGTTGTTTAGCATATTCATATATAAGAAATTCAATTAGATATCAGATATTAATATTTCAAAGATTTGAAGTGTATAACCACTGGAAGCAACATGGAGGTCCACTTACCAAGGTCAGTGTGACCATAGCCACTGATGGATGCCCAATCTGCCAGCAGTAGCAACCAGCACTGAGTCCTTGAAATGGCATCATTCCCCAGGTGCACTGTGCATCAGAGAAAAAGAAATAATCAGACCTTTTGAAGATTATTGAACACTGGCTTTGAATTGACATTAATTCTAAGAGAACCAAAAGTCACCGTGGTCCACCAGTCAGAGTAGGGGCTTGTAGAAGTCAGGTGATCAGTGGAGTTTAGCTCAGATCCACTCCACAGTGGGCTAAGTGGAACCCTGCCTCCATCCTGTGGTAATTTCCACAATTCTAGAATGCTTAATTTGAATAGTTACATTGAATAAGTGGCAGAGTTCCCAGCAATTCTTATATGTTAGTGGCATCAGAATTGCTAGGAGAGCTTGTTCAAACACAGATTGTTGTGTTTCTGATTCTATAGGTCAGGAGTGGTATCCAGGAATTGCATTTCTAACAAGTTCTGAAATGATACTGATGTTGCTGGTATAGGTGTCACTCTTTAAGGAAGGCTTATTTAAGCCATGGGACCAATTAAATATTTTACTTTTGTGTTAGTTTCTTGCCAGAAGTGTATGAGACTACAGAGATGCTATTTGGAACATAAGTGATGAGATTATTTGAGTCCTATATCTGTAGATGCAAGAGTGATGAGGGAAATTTTAAAAATTCAGGAACTAAGATTCACATGTTCTTGTTAAGAGTCTCAGTAAATTTGAAATAAAAGCAAAGTCTTTCACCCCTCTTATTTCCTTCTGCAATATGAAGAGCCTCTGAAGTCAGATGAACTAGGAATAAAAATTTTAAAAAATAGTAGATTATAAAATATTTTCAATAAGATTTTGGTTAAAAAACTATGTATTAGTTTCCTGGGATTCCATAACAAATTATCACAAACTGGGTGGCTTAAAACAACGGAAATTTATTCCGTCACAATTATGAATGCCAGAAGATTGAAGTCTGTGTGTCAGCAGGGCCATACTACTTCTCAAGGCCTTGGGGGAGATCCTTGCCTCTGCTAGCTCTTGGTAGGTCCAGACGTTCCTTGGCTTGTGACAGCATAACTCCAGTCTTTGCCTCTGTCTTCACTTGGCCTTCTTCCCTCTGTGTGTTTAAGTCTTCTCCTCTTCTTATAAAGGCTATTGTCACTGGCCTTAGGGCCCACCTAGTTATTCCACAATGATTTAATCTTTTACTTTCTTATATTTGCAAAGGCTCTTTTTCCAAATAAGGTCACATTTATAGAGTACCAGGGGTTAGGGCTTGGACATGAGATTTTAGAGGTAGTTATTCAACCCACTACAAATCATAATTTATTTAGCCTGTGAAAATGAAAACAAAATCTTTTCCACCAGATTGAGTATTCTTTAAAGATTCATGTATTTATAATTTTGAGAAACACAGAGTGTGATACACTTTTGCAATCAAACTACCATGTGGCTATATATAGAAAAAAGGAAAATGATAATGGTTTTCATACAATACTTTTGCTGGAAAATACTTTTGATATGCCTTACTGAAGCAAAGCAAAAGTAAACATTTGTGTGGTAGGTTGTCTGCAAAGTTGGTTGTCAGTGATTACTCCCATCCCAATGCATGTGTGCCTCTTCTCTGCTGCAAGAGGAACTTCTTTCCCTTTTCCTCTCCCTAAATTTTGCTTGGTTCTTTGACTTGCTTTGACAGATTGAATGCAGTTGAAGTAATTTTGTATTAATCATGGATGTAGGCCTTAAGAAGTTTTGGAGTTTCAATTTTTACCTGCTTGGAACACAGCTACCATTTGAAAGAGCCAAGTACCCTACTAGGGCGAGAGGCCACATGAATAGAGAAAGGTGCTGGAGGACGAATGTATTAGTCTTTTCTTTCACTGCTATGAAGAACTTCCTGAGACTGGCTTATTTATTTATTTATTTTTGAGACAGAGACTCACTCTGTCACGTAGTCTAGAGTGTGATAAATAACAAAATTTCAGCTCACTGCAACCTCCACCTCCCGGGTTCAAGCAATTCTCCTGCCTCAGCCTCTCAAGCAGCTGTGAATACAGGTGCCTACCACCACACCTGGCTAATTTTTGTATTTTTAGTAGAGACAGGGTTTTACCATGTTGTCCATGCGGGTCTTGAACTCCTGACCTCAGATATTCCACCTGCCTCAGCCTCCCAAAGTGCTAGGATTACAGGCATGAGCCACCGCACCTGGCCGATACTGGGTAATTTATAAAGGAAAGAGTTTTAATTGAGTCACAGTTCTGCATGGCTGGGGAGACCTCAGGATACTTACAATCGTGGTGGAAGTTGAAGGGGAAGGAAGGCACCCTTCTCACAAGGCAGAAGGAAGGAGAAATACTGAGTGAGGAGGGAAGAGCCCTTTATAAAACCATCATATCTCATGAGAACTCACTCACTATCATGAGAACCACATGGGGGAAACTGCCCCCATGATCCAATTACCTCCACGTGGTCCCACCCTTGACATGTGGGGTTTATGGGGTTCATGTGGATTGCAATCAAGATGATATGTTTGATGGGGATATAGACATAGCATGTCATTCTGCCCCTGGCTCCTCCAAAATCTCATGTCCTTACATTTCAAAACAAATCATGGCTTTCCAACAGTCTCCCAAAGTCTTAATTCATTCCAGCATTAACCCAAAAGTCCAAGTCTGAAGTCTCATCTGAGACAAGGCAAATCCCTTCCACCTATAAGCCCGTGAAATCAAAAGCAAGTTAGTCACTTCCTAGATATAATGGGAGTAGAGGTATTGGGTAAATACACCCATTTCAAATGGGATAAATTGACCAAAACAAAGGGACTACAGGCCCCATGCAAGTCCAATTAAACCTTAAAGTTCCAAAATGATCTCCTTTGACTCCAGGTCTCACATCCAGGTCATGCTGATGCAAGAAATGGGCTCCTGTGGCCTTGGGAAGCCCCAGCTCCATGACACTGCAGGGTACAGCCCCCTTCCTACTACTTTCATGGGCTGACATTGAGTGTCTGTGGATTTTCCAGGTGCATGGTGCAATCTGTCATTCTGGGGTCTGCAGGACACTGGGCTCTTCTCACAGCTCCACTAGGCACTGCCCCGGTGGGGACTCTGTGTTGGAACTCCAACCCTACATTTCCTTTCCTCACTGCTCTAGCAGAGGTTCTCCATGAGGGCTCCACCCCTGCAGCAAACTTCTGCCTGGACACCCAGGCATTTCCATCCATCCTCTGAAATCTAGGCAGAGGTTCCTAAACCTTAATTCTTGACTTCTGGACACTCACAGGGTCATCAACACCATATGGAAGCTGCCAAGGCTTGGAGTTTGCACCCTCTGAAGCAATGGCCATAGCTGTACTTTGTCCCCTTTTAGTCATGGTTGGAGCTGAAGCAGTTGGGACACAGAGCACCATGCCCTAAGGCTGCACAAAACAGGAGACCCTGGACTGGGTTCAAAAACCATTTTTCCTTCTAGGCCTCCTCCAGATCTGTGATGGGAGGGACTGCTTTGAAGATCTCTGACATGCCCTGGGGACATTTTCCCCATTGTCTTAGTGATTAATATTTGGCTCCTCATTACTTATGCAAATTTCTATAGCGGGCTTGCATTTCTCCCCAGAAAATGGGTTTTTCTTTTCTACTGCAATATCAGGCTGCAAATTTTCCAAAATTTTATGCTCTGCTTCCTCTTGAGTGCTTTACTGCTTAGAAATTTCTTCCACCAGATACCCTAAATCATCTCTCTCAAGTGCAAAATTCCACGGATCTCTAGGGCAGGGGCAAAATGCATCCAGTCTCTTTGCTAAAGCATAGCAAGAGTAACTTTTACTCCAGTTCCCAACAAGTTCCTCCTCTCCATCTGAGACCACTTCATTGTCCATATCACTATCAGCATTTTGATCAAAGCCATTCAACAAGTCCCTAGGAAGTTCCAAACTTTCCCACATTTTTCTGTCTTCTTCTGAGCCATCTAAACTACTCCATCCTCTCCCTATTATCCAGTTCTAAAGTTGCTTCTACATTTTTGGGTATCTTTATAGCAGTGCCCCACTAGCTCGGTACCAATTTACTGTATTAGTCCATTCTCACACTGCTATGAAAAACTGCCAGAGACTGGGTAATTTATAAAGTAGAGGTTTAATTGACTCACAGTTCAGCATGGCTGAGGAGGCCTCAGGAAACTTACAATTATGGCAGAAAGCAAAGGGGAAGCAAAACTCCTTCTTCACAAGGTAGCAAAAAGGAGAAGTGGTGAGCAAAGGGGAAAGATCCCCTTATAAAACCATCTGATCTCGTGAGAACTCACTCACTATCATGAGAACAGCATGGGGGAAACTGCCATCGTGATCCAATTACTTCCACCTGGTCCTGCCCTTGACATGTGGGAGTTATGGGGATAATGGGGATTAAAATTCAAGTTGAGATTCTCAGTGGGGACACAGGCAAACCACATCAAAGAGAGACTAAAACAGGGAAAGAAAGGCATGGCAAGTCCTACGACCTTCCAGCCACCCCAGCTAGAATCATGGGAGTTAAATTCTAGCTGCCCTGCCCCTGCCCAAACATTTATGGAGCTGAGAAGAGCTGAGATTTGCCCAAGCCATAGTTTTGGAGGTGCTTTGTTATGCAGAAGTAGATAACTGAAATAGTGTCTTCTAGGTTTAAACAATCACATACATCTAGTTCTTAGTGAAATACAAAGTACAGTTCCTTTATTGTAAGAAAATCCATTCTGACTTTTTTATTGTTATCATTTTCCCATAAGTATCAAAGGACTTTCTATGTTATTTCTATCAAAGTTATTTTGGCATGAACTGAGATGGTAAGACTTAAAATGGTCAAGAGATAACTTTGTGAAAAAGGGCAGTTGTTTGTCAGGGGAGGATATTATTCCTTTCCAGCTTGTTGCTTTTGCTAAGAATGGCTAGAAGACTGTAAATGTATTGGAGATACAGAAGTACATGAAAATAAAATTGTAAAGAGGTTGAACCTACTTTAGAACGTAGAATTTCAACCCAAGGAATTTTAACTGAATAGTAAAGAACTATCATATATGAGTGATCTTAAGATATACTAGAAAAATTGAAGTTTTTCACTCAGACTGCCATTCAGTGTCTTCCTACTGCTCACTAATTAATTTGTATCTATTAGATTACTCTAAACATCAGAATCAGGGAATGGACATTAGGGTACCCAGAAGGAGGCTACTGCAGTGACCAAATTATAGGATAGATTCTAGGGATACACTGTAAATTAGCCAATGAAGAAGGAATGAGCCACAACTTCTGCACAGTCCTCCTTAAAACGAATTTCCTATTCCTTACAGTCATTGGGAGCAAGAGTCCTTGAGAATTTGGAGAACGGCAATGGAAGTTGCAGATATAGAAAGCCAGTTAAAGAAACAGCTTCACAGTCTAGTTTTAATCATACTGAATTAAAGGTGGCATAAATATGTTAACAGATGACTGTGAAAGGAAAGGAGAAAAAAGATGTATGTATAGATTTTGGGTCTGTTTTCTGGCAATGCAAAGCAGTATAGCAGGTGGTTTAGGAAATGATCTGGAGAGTAATCAGGTGCTAATTCTGGCTCTGATACTTAGTAAATCTGAGACATGAAGTTACTATTCTTTGAATCAGCTTCATCATCTGTACAGAGAAGAAAATATAAGCATTTATCTTCTAGGATTGTTGTGATGATTAAATGGGCTAATGTATGTAAGGCATTTAGAGCAATGTCTGGTATTTAATACGTGTTATATAAATGTTAACAACTAATTATGTGCTTGTTGCCTCACCATTATCAATTCCTTGCTCTTGTTTAGAACAGAAACCTTGTGAATTTAAATATTGGAATGTTCTCAGCTAAAAATATTGTATTTCCAAATCTTCCTTATATATACGGTTGGCAAAAAACCTATACATGAAAATTGTTCAATGTGGCTTTGAAGAAAGTTCTTTATTTTTTGGCTTTAATGAGGTATAATTGATAAATAAAAATTGTACATATTTGCATACAGAGTGATGTTTTAATATACATATTCATTGTAAAATGATTTCTGTAATCAAGCTATTCAATACATTAATATACTTAAGATCTACTCTCAGTGAATTTCAAGTATATGATGCATTATTATTAACTATCATCACCATGCTATATGTTAGATCTCCACAACTTACTCATAACTACAATTTTTTACTCTTTGACCCACATCACCTCATTTTCCCCACCCTAGATCCCTAGTAACTATCCTGCTATTCTATGTTTCTTTGTTTCAACTTTTTAAAGATTCCACATCTGAGTGAGATCTTGCAATAATTGTCTTTTTGTGTCTGGCTTTTATTTATTTATTTATTTTTTTGCCAGTAAGTACTGATTGGAAACGTGTCTGGCTTATTTCAGTTAGCAAAATGTCCTGCAGTTTCATCCATGTTGTCACAAATGGCAGGTTTTACTTCTTTTTAAAGGTTGAATAATATTCTATTCTCTCTCTCCCTTCTATCCCTCCCTCCCTATCTCCCCTCCTCTTTCCTCCCCTCTCTCTCCTTGCCTTCTTTTTTGAGACAAGGTCTCACTCTACCACCCAGGCAGGAGTGCAATGGTGTGATCACAGCTCACTGTAGCCTCAGACTCCTGGGCTCAAGTGATCCTCCCATCTCAGCCTCCTGGCTTAGCCAGGCACCACGCCTGGCTAATTATTTTTATTTTCATATAGAGAGGGTCCTGCTTTGTTACCCAGGCTGGTCTCAAACCCATGGCCTCAAATGACTCTACCAACTCAGCCTCCCAAAGTGTTGGGATTATAGGCATGAGCCACTGCACCTGACCCAGAACGTCCTTTCTAAGAATGTTCACTCTCTTAGCCTGCTTATACCCCTGTGGTGGTGGCCTGCTGCCTTAACAAGGAGTCTAAGCTCCTCTGCACAGAGTCTAAA